AGGGGTGGCAGCAGCCCAGCGGGGGCAGGCTGTGTGTCAGCTCTCCCGCTGCTCCGGGGGGGTTGGCTTGGGCCCACCAGCCTGCCCTCCCCAGGCGAGCGCTGTATCCCCAGGAAATGCCAGTACCCGTCCCACCACCTTCCCTTCAGGGCATCCTTCCACCTAGGCAGCCTGTCCAGTGCCGCAGGTCCTGCTTTGGTGCAAGGAGCAGCTGGAGATTCTGCTGTGACACCAACACCAGGAGAGCCCCGCTCCGGGGGGGTTGGCTTGGGCCCACCAGCCTGCCCTCCCCAGGCGAGCGCTGTATCCCCAGGAAATGCCAGTACCCGTCCCACCACCTTCCCTTCAGGGCATCCTTCCACCTAGGCAGCCTGTCCAGTGCCGCAGGTCCTGCTTTGGTGCAAGGAGCAGCTGGAGATTCTGCTGTGACACCAACACCAGGAGAGCCCCCTGCTTACCCCAGGGCCAGAGCCCCCCTCCCCATCTCCCCTCGGTGGGGTGGGATGTTCTGTAGCAGGAGAGTGAGTCTGGTGCATGGTCCCACCCGACAGGCTGCTCACACCAGGGAGGTTTGCTGGGGTCTCTCATTCTGTCCCCAAACACAGTCCAGTCCCGGCTGCCCCTCCAGGTCTCACTGATTTTCTCTTCTGTGTTAGCAGCTGGAAGAGGAACAGAAGATCCAAGGGACGGTCCATGATGCCAGCCGACAATCACACCTTTTTTGCACCGGAAATCTTCATCCTGACCGGCATCCCTGGTACAGAGGAATCTTATGTCTGGCTCTTCTTCACCTTCTGTCTGATGTACCTTACTGCTCTTGTGGGGAACACTCTCCTCCTGTTCATCATAGCGACAGAACGAAGCCTCCATGAGCCCATGTACCTTTTCCTCTCCATGCTGGCTGCTGCTGATCTGCTGTTGTCGACCACCACAGTGCCCAAGATGCTGGACTTGTTCTGGTTCAGAAAAGGGGAAATTTCTTTTGCTGCCTGCCTCACCCAGATGTTCTTCATCTATGTCAGTTTTACCTCTGAGTCGGGCATCCTGCTGGCCATGGCGTTTGATCGGTACGTTGCCATCTGCAACCCCCTGAGATACACCACCCTGCTCTCCAAGCCAGTGATCGGGAAGATCGGGCTGGCGGTTCTCACAAGGAGTGTCGGCATCTCTTTTGCTTACATCCTTCTCGTGACACGGCTGAAGTTCTGCAGAACCAACCTCCTGCCTCAAACCTATTGCCAGGAATGGGCCGTCGCTCAGCTGGCCTGCGACGACATCGCAGACCATTTCTGGTACGGCGTCGCTGTGGCTATTTTAGCCGATGGGTTGGACACCGCGCTCATTGCTGCATCTTACCTGCTGATCCTCAGGGCCGTCTTCCGGCTCCCGTCCAGGGGCGCCCGGCTCAAGGCTCTGCGCACCTGCAACTCCCACATCAGTGTCATCCTGATCTTCTACACAACCGCATTTTTCTCCTACTACGCACACCAATATGTGCACATCATCCCGGGTTATATTCTCAACCTGCTGGCCCACAGCCAGTTGCTCCTTCCCCCCATGCTAGACCCCATCATTTACGGGGTGACATCAAAGGCGATCCTGAAACACGCGATCCACTTGTTTTATCGAAGCTACAGACGAATGTCCCTGAAGGGTTAAGGAAGGCAGCAGAAAATGCCCTCGGAGTGGAACACAACGGAGAGGAAACATGTGGTGGAATTTGTAAGCCTGGGGCAGAGACTGTAGCTGGAAAAAAGAATTTCAAAGTGAACAACTCAAATTAAGCAGCATTGCTGCATTAACACATGGAGTTGCACAAAAATATTTAACTGCAACCAAAAAGCCTCCCTCCCCCCAAACCATGAGGTGCACACACTAACACAACAGACACAGGGGGCAAACCCACAATCCATGCGGTGCACACACTAACACAACAGACACAGGGGGCAATTCACAATCAAAGGAGATCCTGAAACGCGCGATCCACTTGTTTTATCGAAGCTACAGACGAATGTCCCTGAAGGGCTAAGGGAGGCAGCAGAAAATGCCCTTGGACATGACAACGAACAGCGGGTTTTCATTGGAACTATGGGACTGTTGTCAATATGAACCTGTCGTGGAACGAGGAGTAACGGTAGCTCGGAATAGGAAGCCTAATCCCAACTACCTAGTCCGTCCCGCGTGTAGCCGTGGGGCACGGAGTCCGCACTAGCGGACATTTAAAAATGGCGGCGCCCGGCAATATGCAAATGAAGCCCAGGAAATTCAAATTCCGGGCTTCATTTGCAACTCCGGTTGCCTACATTACCACCCTAGTTCGAACTAGGGGGCTAGTGTAGACAGACCCCCAGTTCTTTGCATTCAGAGCAGGACTAGCTGCTCCTGAGACCATCCCTGACAGGTGTTTGTCTAACCTGCTCTGCAGAATATCCAATGACAGGGATTTTGCAACCTCTCTAGGCAATTTACTCTAGGTGTTAACCACCCTGAGATGCGGGAAGTGTTTCCTAAACCTCCCTTGCTGCTTGGTCAGTCACCAGAGGTTGAGAGAGAGATTTTTTCTCCCTCTTTTTCTAGGAACATTTCAAGTACTAGATATGTGTCATCACGTCCCCTCTCCGTCTTCCCTTTACTAATCTAAACAAAACCCTTTTTTTTTTCAATCTTCCCAGATAGGTCCTGTTTGTGTTGCACTTCTCTGCACTTTTTCCAGTTTCTCCGCATCTCTCCTGGGTCGTGCTACCCAGAACTGAACACAGTCCTCTAGGTGAGACCTAACCAGAGGGGAAGAATCACTTCTCGTGTCTCACAACACTCGTGCTCAGACACGCCCGAAGGATGTCTGCTTGTCTTGCAACAGTGTCACACAGTTGACTCAATTTCTCTTTTCATAGAATCACAGAAGACGAGAAGTGGAAGGGACCTCGAGAGGTCACCAAGCCCAGTCCCCTGCCCCCTGCTTTTGTAAACTGTGACCCCAGATCCCTTTCTGCTGTTCTCCTCCCTGGGCAGCCATTTCCATGTTGTATCTGTGCGACTGAGCTGAGTCCCTGAATTATTGAATTTCATCCTGTTTACCTCAGAGCATTTCTCCAGTTTGTCCAGGTCATTTTCAATTATGACCCTGTCCTCCCAAGCACTGCCAACCCCTGTCAGCTTGGTACTTTCCACAAACTTTATAAATGACCTATCCATGCCATTTTCTAAATCATCGATGAAGATATTGTAAGTGTGAGGATACGGCCCTTTTCTGGAGCCATAGTGTAAGGCCTTGTCATGGCTCCTTCCCCACTCTGACCCCACAAGTGCAGAAGTGCCAGGTACTCAGGGGTGGGGTGTGATTTCCTAGGTTACTAGGTGTGATCTGAGCTAGTTCCAAGTAATAATAAAGAAACCGGGGAGAGACTATTTGGGATATCTCACCCCTAAAGTACAAACCAGGACACAACAATTAATCAATACCAGGTTACCAAAAAAAAAAAAAAAAAGGAGAAAGAACTTTTATTATCACCACAATGTTCATGTTACAAGCATTATGACTAGATGGAAAAGTCAAAAGTAATACTCAGGGGGAAACTCCATCATGGACCTAGAACTTAGTTAGAAAGGAAAGCAAAAACATTTTTAAAAAGTGCACAGACATCAGATCCCAAACCATAAAGCAATAAAACCTGTCGGTGTCCCCGAGTAGCTGGAGAGACACTGCCCCAGAGACAAAGGAGGGAGAAACCAAACATGGCTTTGTCCTAGTTTGAAATTCCTACCTACGTTTCTATTGGCTGAATGTACCTGACCTAGATAAGGTTAACCCCTTAATTCCCAGGCTGCTGACTAACCCTCATGATCATGACATGCCCCCCCAAATCGCAGATGGTGCTGGACAGCTTCCGGCTGCACTGGCTGTGATTTCTTCTTGGAGGTCTGAGATAAAACAGTAAATAAGTACATGCACGCCTTACTAGACCATTGAAATACATGAAAAGTAAACAAAATGCTTCCACATCTGTGTAGTACCACGACAGATCTACAGAGAGAGTCCTAAGTATATTTCTGGTAGTGTTACTTTTGCCAAGGCCTCAGATCTACAGAGAGAGTCCTAAGTATATTTCTTGCAGTGTTACTTTTGCCAAGGCCCCGTGTTGTTGTCTCATTTCAACTGCCCCTTTTACCAACCAAACTCTCAGCCTCAAATCAAATTTAGAACAGCTGGGGCCCTGATCTAAAGCTCAACTGACCAGGCTCTGTGCATCATGGCGCCAGCTCAGGGAGAATTGCTTAAAACCAGGGCTACATATCGCCCTCAACTGGGGTCCTTTTCTAAGGCACGCCGCCAGTTACACTGAGCACGTCAGCTGCCAACCTGGCCAGCAGGAAGCCTCCCCAGCAAAACCCCTCAGGCAACCCAGCTTTCCTGTGCCACACTCAGACTTAGGCCTCACGCACAGGTGAGAGGTTATAAAACCCACACTCACCAGCTCCAAACAGATCCTCCTGGGCCAAAGGACTCAGCCACAGTTCCAGCCCACTTTTCACTTTAGATCTTACCCACAAGATCACGCTGCGCCAATCCTTTCGAATCTAAACTCTAAAGAGACACAAATAAAAGAAAGAAAAAATTAAGAGTAAGATTGTTAATGAGAACACTTGTCATACATCAGTCACCGAGTGAGTGCTTGATACAGGATGGCTAGTACAAACTTCTCGCTTCACAGTCTTTAGCGTCAGCCTCAGTTTCCCTTTCCACACAGCGCACCAATTTTGGAATGCACCATCTCAGCTGAGTTGCTCCAACACTCATTACAAGTGTTAACAGTGAAATGCCAGTGTCACAAGGCTTTTGAACATAGTGTGTCCTTGGGTACATTTCTTAACTGTTTCTAGGGCCCTTGCACAAAATCATGCACACTGGACATTTTTACAGTTCTTTGCAACAGCAGTTTAGTGGTTACAACAGTTGACATCAGCAATGGGAATGAACCCAAACTCTGACCATTTTGGGCTTCCAGATTTAAAAAGCTGCAGCCTTCCTGGGCAAATACATGTCTTGCCCCTCCCCCTTGCCCTATGTGTTCAAATTCAGACCTCCCTCTCCCAAAGACAAAGGGCTGGCTGGGTGTGTCTCCCCTGCCCACAATAGCTATAGAATTTCCTTGCTCCCCATAGCTAATCATGAAGCATGCAGTCCAGACATTAATCTGGCGCTGGCACCCTTCTGCTTTCCATCTAGTTTTCCAGGTGGGCCACTGCCTCTCAGATACAGGGTCTAGGTGAACTAGCCTTGTAGACTTCCAGATTCCTTGTCCACTCACAGAACCAGACTGGAACCATTCATGTTTCAGCCACACACACTCCCCAGCAAGCTGGTCAAACACAGCCACTTGGTCACCAGAGGGCTGTTTCACCTCCCTGGCTGTCTCCACTCTATGTGAAACCATCTCCAATCCCTCTGCAACTTCCTCACCCTTGTCCACATTGGATCTTTCTAACCCCAAGTCACTTTTACCCCCTTCGAACACAACAACCTGCTGAGCCATCATTTCCCCTGGGCTGTGTCTAGACTGGCAAGTTTTTCCGCAAAATCAGCTGCTTTTCTGGAAAAACTTGCCAGCTTTCTACACTGGCTGCTTGAACTTCCGCAAAAGCACTGATGATCTCCTGTAAGATTGTCAGTGCTTTTGCAGAAATACTATGCTGCTCCCATTTGGGCAAAAGTCTTTTTCCGAAAGACTTTTGTGCAAAAGGGCCAGTGTAGACAGCAGAGATTTATTTTCCGCAAAAAAGCCCCGATGGCGAAAATGGTGGTCGGGGCTTTTTTGTGGAGAAGCGCGTCTAGATTGACCACGGACGCTTTTCCGCAAAAACCCAGTGGAGCCCCCCCCCCCTGCCAATCTAGATGCGCTTTTCTGAAAATGCTTTTAATGGAAAACTTTTCCGTTCAAAGCATTTCTGGAAAATCATGCCAGTCTAGACGTAGCCCAGGTGTCCTGGCCAGGATCGTACCCTGATCACACAGAGTCACTCTCCCTTCCAGCAACACACCAGCAACAGGCAACACACAAGCACCAGACTGGTGTGATCCCTGAGTTCCTGACATGATACTGGCTGGGCCCACCCCAGTTACAGCACCACTGTCCTCAGCTGATACAAACCTAGGCTCCTCCCCTTTCTGGGCTTCAGCTGTGGGTCCACAGCTGAACTAAATCTGGACCCGCAGCCCTGTGCTCAGCCATTCCAGGCTGACAGGCACCTCCTGCAGACAAAGAAGTGGGAAGAAACCCAGAAACCCTTCCCCCTCAGGCATACTGCCCCTCCCGCAGCCAAACTGCCAGGCTCCACGCACAGAGGTTGCTCACACTCCGCTCCCTCAAGTAAATCGCTTTCAGCTTGTGCACGTTCAATTTGACAAACCTCACCAGCCACCAACTCCTCACCCTCCAGAACTTGATCTTTTTCCTCCACTAAAACCCCATTCTGGCCAGCCACTCCAGACAGCCCCAGAGAAACACTTCCATGATTACTGGGCCCTTCCTGCCCCGTTTCTGATTCCAGCCTCACCTCTGAGGCTCCCAGGAGACGTGCAGAGACCTTACTCTTAGACACACAGCTCTCTCCCTCAGGCAAACATTGCAAGGCTGTGTCTACATTGGTGCGATCTTGCG